CAAGACTAATCATCTTATAGCAGTAAAGGTGAAATCGAGGTTCCAGTTTGTCTAGAGGATAAAAATCTGGCTAAGTTGGCTTAAATAATTGGTAGATTTTTCCCCCCTTATGACCTTTGATATTTTCAGACAATCCTTCCAAATCAATGATTCAAATCAAGAATCTTGGTACGAATCCATAGCTAACAAATTACCTAATGTTAAGACTAAAGACTATAAATAAATAGTCATTTAATCATGCTTGCTGTAAAAGGAGTGGAAGTAGATGCATCTCCTATGGGGATGAGAATTTTAGGTAGTAAACCCCTTATAATAGATCATGATATCAACTTTAAATAATAGAAAATCTGTTGGAATAGATCAAATACTTTTTAAAAGGTTCTGAGGATCTTTTATAAGGATCAACGAAAATTAAAAAATACTTCAGATCCAAGTTATTAAAAAACAATAAACCACCTCCGTAAAATGATATTGATCTATGATAATAAAATTATATAAAACTAATTCAGAATTAATCAGAAATATATTTGATAATAATGAATTACCATAAGGAATATGATCATGATGATATTATCAAAAAAGTCATTACAGAAATAACTAAGGCTGGCACTCAAGTGTATATTCTCATATATGGTGTATTTCCCAGTGTATTACCTTTAATAATTAAAGTACGTGAATAAACTAGTTAATTGGATCTCTTCATTGAATTAGATCAGGGAATGATATTATATTAGTGAGTTTTTAGAGCCATTAATTAACTACTCTAATGGAAGTTCACCAAGCATAGGTTGGTTACAAACTACCTGCTTAGGTCATGTTGAGAAATAAGTTAACTGCTAAATTAGGAATGGACGAGATCTAAAGTTATAATAAGAAACTCTGAGCTGAAAGAAATACATAAATGGTGGATAAATTGTAGGGTAAAATAAGAAAAGCCAAATTAATCAAATATGCTAAAAAGAAAGAGCAATTAATATAGAAATTAAAGCTTTAAATTCCTAACATAATTATGTAGGAAGAAAAAGTCATGACATAATCTTAATAGTTTTTATAAATTGAATAAAAAAAATAAACGAAAGCAAAAACTGATTAAAAAATTAATGAATTATAAGAAGAAGAAGAAGAACCAAAAAGATAATAAATACTAATAGAAAGGCTGGAAGAGACAAAATTATAGCAATAAAAATACATTTAAACCTACTTAAATTATAATTTTGACTTTATTCAGGCCTTTCTAAATGATTCAAAAAACTATATTAGACCTTGGTAGGTCAATATGGAAAGGGTGAAATATGGTTATGGTTAAAACTTCATAGTTAGACGTATGAGATTAGTGAAGAATCAAAATGTATAAGAATGGGAAGACAAAAACCAACAAAGATTAAAGTCTATGGTTTTAGTCTCATTTCATAATAAAATAGAGGAACTAGAATAATAACATCTAAAGATAAGATATATGGAGGATGCTTTTGTTTAATACACTTCTTAATTTCCTTTTTCATCTATATCCCCTAAAGAAGCAACTTGGTGGTCTGAAGTATCGGATGCCTGTGACGAAGAAGAGTATTTGAATTCAATATGCCTAAAATGGTGTACTATTAGTTCCTGTGATTAGAAATTAAAGAATACCGCTAAACGTTATATAATATTTAATTAATCACTAGTTGAAGAATACTGTTTCAGAAATAGATTAAGAAATTCCTTACATATTTAATTTATAGTGGAATAATATTATAGGATAATCAAGATCTGGAATAACTTTCCCATAGCATATTTTGTTAAATATGTTACCAAAATCAATTGCTAATATGATATAGGGCAACTTGATGAAAAAAAAACTAGGTAAGACTTCTAAACATTGTTTAAGTTCTGCAAATGGTGTAGAAATTGATGTAAAAAATATGCTTTAAACATAAAAACTTTAGCTTAATACCTTGGAAGAGAATAAGATAAATTATAAATTGATTCCAATGAAAAATAACCAATACATACAATTCAATGTTATTATTATTATTACAAATCCCGAATTATAAACAATGAAAGTGAAGTCTGAGAAAATAGAATCCAAAATTTCAATCAACTAACTTAAAATTCATATTCTCACCCAAAACATAAAAAATATAGGTTCAAGATTCTACTATTTTTAAGAAATAATAAAATCTATTATATATTATTAATTACTTAATTATAAATCCTTTGCTTATTCCATTTTATTAGAGATTTAATTTATGAAGTACAATACCAGGGTTTTATAAAATTAGTAAAATATCAATTCACTAAATCAATGCAATTATTCTCATCCTAATGAAAACAATATTTAAAATCTACTACTTACATTTTCTATATTGTTTCTTTTAATAATTAATTTAAAAATCTATTATTTACACAGAATAAAAAATCAAATCGAGATTAAATCAATGTTCTTATTAAAGTAAATTAATCTCATGTCATTATTGCTTCATATTTTTCCTCAGTCTTTTTTTTTGATTTTCCACAACCAAATAACTCTACCCCAACTGAATAATTGAACATTCATTTATTAATTCTTTCAAATGAAAGTAAGATCTCCAGTTCTTTCTATCTCAAAACTTTCCTATTTCTTTTGAATAAATATAGGAATATAGAAACTTTCTCAATCTTTACCCTCGAAAAATTAAGTACCCTAACGAAAGTAACAATACACTAAGAACAGCCCAGCAGTGATGAAAAACCTATCTAAACAGTCATGAATTTTTACTAAAAATCTCCTTTAATCTATGAACAAAGCTAGATTCAAATAGTTTAATGAAATGATTTAAGACCATAATTCCATAAGACTACATGGATCTAACTATTATTATATGCAAATGTAAATTACTTATTTTCTGCATTGGATTATATGTTCATCATCTAATTATCTCTTATTAACAATTGACCCTTCATTTGTAAAGGGTTTTAGATTTCTACTTTAGATGCCTCTTTAGAATCTCTTAATTTTTATAATTTATTATATATCTATATATTTTATTTCTTACATTTTGGCTATTACATATCCCATGTATTCATAATACTTTAGGGTTATCTTTAAGTTATTAACATGTACCTTTGTTGGTATTTATTGATGGCATTATCAAATTATAAAATCTTGGCATTTTTCCTTATCACAATTTATATCTTGAACCAATTCTAATACTATAATTGATATTTATAACTATAAATAACATTATCAAATCAAAATCCAATCTTTAAAAGACTTTTTGAATAAAAAAAGAGTATAAAATTCTTATTTTTTATTTATTAAGGGCCATTGTGAAATACAATTTATTCACTATTTAATCCTCTTTGTTTATTAATTATTCACTATTCTTTTACAAAAAATTTTGGCGCTGTGACAAAATTTATCAATCTGGTTTAATATAAGAGAGTAAGTCGACAAAAAACAGTAATTGACTGCACATTAAGTTTAATGATATACTATTATGATGAATCAGGTTATAGTCTATAAAAATTATGAAATCCTTATTTTCTTTTATTTCTTCATTAGCCTAATTAATTAAGCCAATAATAAGAATATACAGTGGCATTAATATTTCCCTTCAATAACTAAAAGTCCTAACGGTCCCAAGTTCCAATGACACATTTAATATTCCAAAACTATATTTCTTTTTTTGATTATATGATGTTTTTATTTCCTTTTAAACTGCCATTTTCTCTGAGACCTTTATGCATTGCTTATCCTTGATTTATATAAGTGAGAGATATTAATTTTTTCTACAACACCCCTTAAATATGCAAAACTTATAATTTTATTCAAAGTATTGGAGTAAAGAAGTTTTGAGTCAAATAATTATTTTATTAAAGAAGTTTAACTGATGTCAAATAAATTAAAATTCACTTTTTTCAACTGAATTAAACCTAATTTTTCTGTGATTTCTAAATTTACAATTAATTGCAGTTAACAATTTAATTGGTTTTGGATCTTTTTAAAATTTCTTAATACGCAATACTGTCATTGTAGTTTATTGTTTTATTGATTAACCCTAAAGTTAAATTTTTTTTTTTATTTTTTGAATACTTTCAGTTTTTGGTTTTTTTATTAATAAGATACTCTCTTGTTATTCCTAATTATTTTTTGATTACTTAATCGTCTTTTTGCTTGATTCTTTGTATTAATTTACCATAATGTCTTAAATCTTTAATGCTTCATTTGACAAAAGAAGAATGTAAATATTAGACCAAAGTAATCTCAGTTATCAGTAGGTCTGTTAAATTAACTGAAATTTTATAATATTACATATTCCCAATCTATATTCTTTCAGACCACTAGGTAATCTATATGCTATTATTAGGTTATTTCTCATAGTAGCACCTTGTTTAACATATTAGAATATATTTGAATTTTTCTTTATTTTACATTTAATATCTCATCCAATTATAAAGGCTGAATAATGAAGAGTGGATTAAGGTGCTTTGCACTCAATCTTTAAACCCTGATTCTGCATACTATTTTGGGAGAAATTCATCTCTTCATTTAGACTTTCTTCTACTGCTGCTTGTCTACTCGAACTAGACCAATACGGAACACACCTATGCATATTTAGATAATTTTTTTGTTGTAAACTTCAACAAAGAAAAAGAAATAAATAATTTAAGATAAGAAAGACTTATAATAAATAATTTTAAAGAATTTATACTCATAAAGAATTTTTAATATTTTATTAATTAATAAAATCATAATTATATATTTACTTTTTCGAAAAAACAATTTCAAATTATTAATTTTAGATGCAATCTAAATTAGAATTACTTTTGATTTTAAATTTATGTGTTTAAAATAGATAGCAAATTTAGTTTTAAAATAACATTTTTAATCCCTATTATTACAGTATTTTCAAGATCGTTTTAAGCAAAGAAAATAATTGATTCATATCACAGCTTTTTTATTCATAATATATGGAATACAGGCTGTAGTAAAGCTACCATAATTTTGAGAATACTTTTAAATCTTTAAAATTTCTCTCACCTAATATTTTTATCTATTTCTTAACACAACCTTCTTCTTTCTAAGGTTATACAAAGTTCACTTCTAACCTCCATTAATATATTTAAATGAAGTCAAAATAAGTAGAATCATAGAGAGAATTGGGTTTCTATTTTATAATTTTAGAATTATCACATATTTTACTTTTAAAGCTTAAAGTAAAAATAGCTTATCTTTTTCTTGATATAACTTTATAAAAACAGGAATCTATGAAATTTTTAACATTTAATGTTGCATATAAGATAATAATGAAGTTAAAAATTATAATCTAATAAATTTTAAATTTTATATTAAAACATTTCAACATTTAAACTGATATGTGAAAATATCAATATTCTCAATTTATTCATTTAATTCATTATTCAATTGTTAAAAGGAATTGATTTGTAGCTGAGTCATACTTTTTATATCTATTTAATGAGGGAAGATTTTAATTTACGATTGCTTAATTATTGCATCTAAATTATAAAATTTTAATTACTTTTATCGTTTTATTTATTCTTATGAGGCCGTTTTTAAAATTTAATAATTCGATCTTAATCTAATCTCTTTTAGTTTCAATTATGTAATTACATTGTTGATATATTTTGCTTACTGAGAATTTGGTTTTATCATTTTTATAATATTATGAATCAAAGTAAACAATTATACCTTATATTTTTTAGCATATCCTCTAAATATATCAAAAATAAATAAAGAGCAGAGTTTAATAAATAGAATTATGATAACAATTTATAAAATTTAAGAGGATACATTTTCTGCTTCCTATTCATTTACATATTTGGCAGTTGCAATAAATATAGCAATAGAACAAATTTAACCTGTTTAAAGATCCAGGTTATTTAAACTTGATATTATGTATGGTTACTGTTTTCCTGCCAATAATTAATAAACTAATAAACATAATCCCAATAAAGATGCTTTAAATAGTATATTAGATTCAAAAAATGTCAAAACAAGGATGATACTTGTCTTTTTTAAAAATTTGATTTATTCCCAAAAGAAACTTTCTTGATTGTATTCATTAAATAAATAACAAATATGCCTTCTAACTTTTATAATTGCAAGTTTGCCTTTTTTGTTAAGGAGAAGAAAAAAAAAAAATAAAGGAATTAATAATCCAAATATTGTTAGTCCAGGTATAGCAAATACATACATCCATTAATAATGATTCTAAGTGCCATAAATTAATGAAACATCTCCTTATACATATTAAATATTTGATATTATTCTTTTTGACACAATTGAACAAAATCTAATTTTTAGTTTATTTCAATACTTCCATATAAAAATATACTAACTTGTTGTAAATTTAAGAATATTTAATTATTAAAAAGTTCCTCATAAAATAGTTAAATATCCAATAAAAACTTATTAAACCTTATAATTATATATAATATTAAAATATTTATATATTCTTATTAATATTTTAATCATTTGTATGAGAATTAAATAATTTAACAATATTCATAAAATTATTACTATGTTTATTTTTTGTTTTAGAATTAAATAATTTTAGAAAATTTATAAATTCTTATCAATATATATTTCTGATAGTATATTACTTTTTGATTTTCAATTTATGTATTTAAAATATTTAGCAGGTATAGTTTTAAAACAACACTTCTAATTCCTATTATTTAATTATTTTCAAGATCAGTTTAAGCAAAGAAAATAATTGATTCATAAAAAAGCTTTATTATTCATAATAAATGGACTACAGGCTGTTGTAACACTACCATAATATTGAGAATACTTTTAAATATTTTGAATTTTCTCTCACATAATATTTTTATCTATTTCTTTACGCAACCCTCTTCTTTTTAAGGTTATTCAAAGTTCACTTTCAACCTCTATTAAAATATTTTAATGAAACTAAAATTAGTAGAATCATAGAAAGAATTGGTTTTCTATTAAATAAATTTAACTATACTATTTAGTATTATCAAATTTTGAAGATTTAAAGCTTAAAGTCGATATAGCATTTCTTTTTTTACTTGATTTAATTTTAGAAAAACAGGAATCCATTATATATTTAACATTAAATGTTGCCTATATAGAAAATTAAATGATATAATAAAGTTTAAATATTCGAAAGTTCAACTATTTATCAAATAATTTTTCAATTTTTCTTTAACGAAAAAAACATTTAATCTAAGAATAAATCGAATTAATAATAATAAATATATAATTTTGCAGATTAAAAAGTTTGAAATAAAAATGATTAATTTGAAAAATATTAATATTCTCGAAAATAATTATCTGTTAATTCATCATTCTATTGTTAATAGGTATTTATTTGTAACTGATTCAGATTGTTTATATCTATTTAATGAGGAAAGATTTTAATTTCTAGTTGCTTAACAATTGCATCTTAATTATAAAATTTTAATTACTTTTATCGTTTTATATATTCTTATGAGGCCATTTTTAAAATTTAATAATTCGATCTTAATCTAATCTCTTTTAGTTTCAATTATGTAATTACATTATTGATAGATTCTGCTTTCATACAATTGGGCTTTATATTTCTGATAATTTTATAAATCAAAGTAAACAATTATACCTTATATTTTTTAGCATATCCTCTAAATATATCAAAAATAAATAAAGAGCAGAGTTTAATAAATAGAATTATGATAACAATTTACAAAATTTAAGAGGATACATTTTCTGCTTCCTATTCATTTACATATTTGGCAGTTGCAATAAATATAGCAATAGAACAAATTTAACCTGTTTAGAGATCCAGGTTATTTAAACTTGATATTATGTATGGTTACTGTTTTCCTGCCAATAATTAATAAACTAATAAACATAATCCCAATAAAGATGCTTTAAATAGTATATTAGATTCAAAAAATGTCAAAACAAGGATGATACTTGTCTTTTTTAAAAATTTGATTTATTCCCAAAAGAAACTTTCTTGTTTGTATTCATTAAACAAATAACAAATATGCCTTCTAACTTTTATAATTGCTAGTTTGCCTTTTTTGTTAAGGAGAAGAAAAAAAAAAATAAAGGAATTAATAATCCAAATATTGTTAGTCCAGGTATAGCAAATACATACATCCATTAATAATGATTCTAAGTGCCATAAATTAATGAAACATCTCCTTATACATATTAAATATTTGATATTATTCTTTTTGACACAATTGAACAAAATCTAATTATAAAATATTTTATACTATTTGATTAAACTAGAGTAATTAGATACATAGAGGTATAATAATGTATTTGAAATAATGCTTCTTTAGAATCTACCTTTTGTCAAAAGTGTATATAAGTTGTATCCAAGCTAAATTATTATAAATTAAATAAGAATTAATAAAAAAGTAGCAATTATCCTGAGATAGATGAGTTCATTTTCAAAAGTATTCGATATAAAACAATCAAGATTAAATGCCATGAATTATGAAGCATTACTAGTTGATTCAATCAACGAAAGTGATATCGAAAAATTAATATTAAATGTAAATATAACTGAGAATATCCATAAATAATTAATAACCATCTTTATGAAAATACTTTCCATATCTAAATTTTAAATTTATAATAGTACCTTAGCCCAATTTAAATAAAATTTTGGCAATATTTGGCTTAAAATTAAGTTTACAGGTAAAAAATAATTAATTTGATTTTTCAATACTTCTTAATGTTATCAATATAGTAATAATAGCCCTTTAATAATACATATTAATACCAAAGGGAAGTCAAAATGAAAGGTGTAATTGTATTAATTGAGCAACCAAAACATTCAGCATCTGATTAATTTTTAAAAAACTATCCTTCCCCTCTTATATTATGAGTATCACATTCTTCACATAATCCTCCAATACGTCCTATACTACAAAGTTCGTTTCCTACCATCCAACCCCCTTTACAAAATTTTTCATTCTTGAAACAAAACTCTGTATAATCTGAATATAAATTGGGTCTCCAATAACCTTCAAATAATTAAATAGAATTTGAAGTAATATTTGCAAATTTAATTTTATCAAATATGGAACACTTTGTAGCATTATAAGTTACTGAATAAAATCCATATATTGATTCACAAATTTAACATCCTTCATCAGCGTAGAATTCCCCTAATTAACATTTATAAGTTCTTGCATTAATTAAATAGTATAAATATTCTGTTGATTCTAATGTTGAGCAACTTATTAATATCTATAAATATTCATTTTCTTCTTGATAAGGATTATAATGAAATGAAATAGATCCTAAATCAAAAGTGTAAGAATTATAATCTGCTTGAAGAGTTGCAATTATTTCAGATTCATCTAATTAGAAGTCCTAATTAAATTCTAAATTAATTTGTGAGACTTGGCAAAATAATAATTGTGAATTTGTCAATAATTCATTTCTACTATTTCTTAATGATATTTGAAATTCATCGAAAATATTCAAACTTACTTGTTGTGATGGAATGAAAATTGTATAATCTTTGATTACTTATTCACTTGGAATCATCAAAGATGAACTAGTTTTACAAACCCCTTATTCTATTATTTTATAAGGTTTTAGCAACAACCTTCTTAATTTAATATTACTAATTTAAATTTCCTCTGATTACATTTCTTAAGAATTTATAATCAAACTTAAATGGGCTGGAAATTCAAAGAAATTACTTGATTCTGTGTTAGCTTTGTTGAATAAAATGAGGGATTAAATAAAATTCTCTTAATTGATGGGAGATTAACCTTAAAAATAAATTCCTCCTCCTTTGTCTGCAAAATTATTTATAATTATTGTTTCTCTTATTAAAAAATGTATGTTATTCATTTCTAAAAATAAACCGCCTCCTAACGCGCCTATGTTTTATATGATTTTACATTTAGCAATACTTATGGCTATGCCACTTGAATATATAGCTATACCATTAGTACCGTTATTAAGTAAGAAGTTAGAGTTAGATATTGATATAGTTTAGTTTTATGAATAATTTGTTACAATATTAATGCATCCATTAATTTAAACCATATTTTAACTACATTTTAGATCTCTAATTATTATTTAACTTTAATTTTCCATTTTCAAAAATAATAGTCCATTTGAACAGTCCTAACATAAATTATCCTATAATAAGATATTTTAAAGATATATGACCGTCTAATTTGAATCAGTTTGAATTTCTATTATTGAGCTCAATTGCCAAGTTTACATAAGATTAATGAGATCATTAAAATAATAAATCTAAGGATTCTATTAAATATTTTCAACTTAACCGCATCCTGAAATCATATAATTTATTTTAGGATTGTAGAAGATTGAAGCATCCCTAACTATATAAGGTTTAAAGTGGTAAATATATACGAATTCAAAATAAATGCTTTATTTTATTTACAAATTTAGTTTTAATTCTAAGAGACTGAATCCATAGAATGTTTGAATTTCAATTGCCTAAAAATAAGAGATAAATAAATATTAAACATTAATCAATTTAATTAAAGGGCAGGCATAAAGACCTTAAATTAAAATATTTTAGATAACAACTTTACAATTTGATAATTATATCATAGCATTAGACGTTCCAGTTAGATCTTAAATTTCAGATTAACTAATCATTCCAGTCTTATCAAAGTATTTAATCCAAATATCTTCATATTATGATATTTTGATATTTCTAATAATTACTGTATTTAAATTTATATCATATGATGAAAATTATAAATTGATAATTGGATTCTTTAATGATATTGTATTAATAATTTAAATATCTTCAATTCTTACTTAATTCTTTTATAATGAAGGAATTATTGTAAAAATTGAAGGAGCCATTCTATTGAATATATTTTAAAATACTGCATTATAAATTTATAAATTAAGTAAACTATTAGAAGAATAAATAGTAATACAACCTGTACTATCAACTATTTAAGATAAATCATATTCTAATGATTTTATTGTTAAATTTATGAATGAAATATTTCCATCTCCTTAAGTCTTTATTTCAAATACAGAACTTTTTAATCCTATTATATCTTCAAATGAACAATTAAAACAGGAAAAACTTGATGCAGATATTAAACCACCTCCACCTTTACTTTTGATTTTAAAAATTTATTAAATTATTAAATTGATTTAATCCTAATCATATTCATCTATATCAATTGAAAAATCATAATAAGACATCCATAATTCAAAAGGTA